AACACTGTCAGAGAGCATTCAGGTTTTGCTCTTGAAAAAGTGGTTTGTTAGGATGATTTTCGTGCATAGAGGCCCTGTGGTGCAGCTTGACCCTTCTAATAAGTGAGACCGTAAAATAATTTTCAGTGTTATGACTTAACAGTTGCTAGTGTTTTGACAGTAAAATAATTACCGTTATTGCTCTGGTGGTTTGTAATGCAACAAGGTAATTACACTTTGTTTTAAATATAAATAACAAAATGTTTTTAAAAGAAAATAAAGGAAAGGGTGTCATGCCAGGCGACCCCTTTTGATCCGCCTCTGGGGAGCGAGAACACGAGAGAAAACGACAGGGTCGAAAGATTTCAGGCTACGATTTTAAGCATTTTTAAATCCAAAATTATTTTTAAAAATAATGAAAATAGTCGAGTAGTAAAAAAAATGCAAAAAGACGTGGTTCCCCTCCTTCTAACCTACACAAGAAGAATACCCAAAGTCCTTCTCGAGTATAATGTGAAGATGCCTTTGACCCCCCCCCCCCTGCACACTGCTATTACCTCTCTAGACGTTGACATACGTATACATACATGTAGCCGGTTGTATGATAATAGGAAAGATAGTGCCTAATAACATAATCTGATGTTGTACCGAGTTAGGTTAGCTGATGGATGAGCCTTACACAATCACGCATAATAATAACCGTAGTAGTGGAAATCTAGTGAATGAAGCGAGAACTACCCGGGGGACTATCGTGACGCTTCTATCCCAGACGGGTATATCTATCTTAATTAGTTTCATCCATTCATTCATTTATTCAAGTTTTTTTTATTAAATATTTTTTCTCTAAGCATTATCACTTCAGGAGCTCTTTCACCTCTTTGTGGTTATTAATAAAAATTTTAAAAGACGCAAGGAACGTTAACCACATAGGAGTTTACCAGTTTAACCCCTTCAATTTCCATATAGTTTACAACTTCAATTTGTTGTTCTAAAAAATGCTATGTAAGACATATTCCCGGAATTATTTTTCATTATTGGAATTAAAGATCTATTAATAATAATGATGATGAAGAAACATTAACGATAGAAAATCTTATTAATAATCTACAAAATACTTCTTTATACAACCCCATCTGGGATCAATATGACGGGTTTTCGCACAACTCTTCGTGTAAACATAATCCTTATCATATATTTAAACCCATATTTTCATACTGGAATCTCATCTTGAAGATGGAAAGGAAGAAATACCCAGGGGATTCCAGCTACATTCCTATCACCCAGGCACGCACAAGTAGTATCGGGGGTGGGGGAGACGGGGATGCCCTCATACTTTTTTTTTTCAAATATAACCTTTTACTATTGAAAATATTCATTGAAAGACTGTTTACTCCCCTCCCCCCCCCATTTTTTATTGAAGTGTAGTTAAATCACAGTAAGTTAAAAAATTTGGTTGTGAAAGGAAAGACCCCCCCCCCCCCCCCGAAAAAATGGATTTCTGAGTTTGGACAATTTTTCTTTCTCTTCTTTTTGCTTGTCAAAGTGTTGTTTTTTTTTCAGGTAAGTTGTTAGATTTTTTTCCGGCTGCCCCCTTTCAAAAACGATGTTACGTACCTGTCACCTATCAAATATAAAGTGAGTATTCCCCTCCTCCGGGGTTGAAAGTGGGGTTTGGGGTATAATACGAATAGCAGAAAGATGCAAGAGAATTTGATTCTCCGTGTCCAAAACATTTTCAAACGGAACGAACTGAAAACAGTCTTTTTGATGATTAGTTACTCGGGAGTTAGAGTAAGTCCCCATTAGCCTTATGGCCTTAGAATGAGATCGTGGTGTACATCATTTATCATTTGCTTCCAATTGAACATATTTTCCCTTTTATTTGACCTTAATGGGGTCACAGACCCTCTCTGGAGCGCTATACATAGTTTTATGGGGTTCCGTTTTTTATTCATTAGAGCCTACATTCCTAATGAAAAGAAAAATAAATTTTCACTCATTTTCTAACTAATGTCACTATTAGACACTTGATATTGGGGAGGGTTTTCGGAGGATGAAATCCTCTAGATTTTTTTTCAAAAATTGAGATTACTTGTCCATTTCAATGTCTCGATGCAGCGTTTGTTCTTTTCTTTTTTTGTGTTTTTTTCTTAAACGTAATCGGAGATTGGAGGGGGCATATTATTTTACCTGTCTGTTTGTCCGCAAAAACTTTAATCATTGCCATAACTTTTGAATAGTTGGTGCTGGGGCTGTCATATTTCACCTGTATATTCCTTGTGACAAGGCCTTTCTTTCGGTATACCAACATTTGTGACCTTATGACCTTGATCTTGAATTTTAACCTACTTTTGAAAAACTTTAACCTTGACCCTAAATTATGAACGGTTGGTTCTTGAGCTTTCATATCTTTGTGACAAGACTTATTTGGGGGTACCATAATTTTTTTATTGATCTCATTCCCTTGATCTTGGAGTTTGACCTACTTTTGTAAGACTTTAGTCTTGGAGATACCCTTTGAACGGTTGGTGCTAGGGCTTTCATATTTGACTTGTGTATGTCTAGTGAAAACACTCTTGTTTTGGGTACCAACATTTTTGAACTCAAGACCTTGATCCACATCTTTGTGTTTTTTTTTTTTTTGTTTGTATGTTTTGTTTTTGATTTTTTGTTTTTTTTTGTTTGTTTGTTTTTTTTTTTTTTTTTTGTTTTTTTTTTTTTTTTTTTTTTTGCAATTGTTCATAGTTTTCTTCTCTAAAGTTATATTTGAACAAATAAGAAATAATATATTAATTTTTCCTCGACACTGTCAACGTACAATTTTCATAAAAATTTGACTGACATTTAAATGGAGAGTACTATTGTTTTTGTAGTTTGCAGAGTTCACTTCTTTAGTACAGTAAGTACAACTGACAAAAAGCAGTTGATTAATTTAATACAAGTGGAAAATTGAAAGAATACTTTTAATCAAGTACCTTTATTTTGATATAAACAATAGACAAAAGAATATTTCAAAGATTCAAGTTCATTTGTCTCTGAAATATATCCTTAAGGTCTGAAGAAACGTTCCTCAAATATCTGTTTGTTTCTCTTCGTAATGTATAAAAATATTCATAATATTTACATTATATTGTGATTTCTAAACTGTTTTCGAAATGTCTTAGAAAATAAATGCAATAAAAATTGTGATATTGACAATTCAAATGATTTCAAATAGGGTTATATGGGAACTATTACCCTCTGGTATCTTGAACAAATGCCTGGTAAGGTACCTCAATTTTCTGTGAGGAAACTTGTTAAAGTAGCAATACTTCAATGAAAATTCTTGGGAAAAATTATATGTTATCTAGGAAAGTGTCGTCTGACCTAAAGAAAAGAAACCTGATGATATGGACGGTAAATGCAGTTCCGGAACCAGAAGAGACACCGAAGTATTTGATATCGAAAATAACTCGTCTTTTTTATAAGCACTATGTAAAAACTGAGTAATCTGTAATAATCAGCTTACTTATACATGTATATTATACTTGCGTTTGTTACGAAGTGTTAGAAGATTTTTTTTTTGGTTCATTTCTAGTAAATACAGATTTAGCTCCCAGAAAGGAAAAGAAAGGTGATCTAATGTTTAGAGTGGTAAGACTAAATGTATGAAAAAGGCCAATGGTGATTTGAGCTTACAATGTTTAATTCTTAAGATATATATTTTATTCTAATTTAGCAATATGCGTGCTATCCTGAAATCCCATTACATTGCTAAACATTGTCTACCCCATGTTGCAACAGAACACACACTGTGTTCTAGTTATTGCTGGATACTGTAACTTACTGATCAGTTTACTGTAACTAACTGATCAGTTTATGATCACTGTAGCTAATTGAGCAGTTTATGGTTATTGTAACACACTGAGTAGTTTTTTTTTTTGTGACTGTAACTAAATGAGCAGTTTATGGTGACTGTAATTGGTGACTGTAACTAACTGATCAGTTTATGGTGACTGTAATTAACTGAGCAGTTTATGTTGACTGTAACTAACTGAGCAGTTTATGGTGACTGTTACTAACTGAGCAGTTTATGGTGACTGTAACTAACTGATCAGTATATGGTGACTGTAACTAACTGATCGGTTTATGGTGACTGTAACTAACTGAGCAGTTTATGGTGACTTTAACTAACTGAGCAGTTTATGTTGACTGTAACTAACTGAGCAGTTTATGGTGACTGTAACTAACTGAGCAGTTTATGTTGACTGTAACTAACCGAGCAGTTTATGGTGACTGTAACTAACTGATCAGTATATGTTGACTGTAACTAACTGATCGGTTTTATGGTGACTGTAACTAACTGAGCAGTTTATGGTGACTGTAATTAACTGAGCAGTTTATGTTGACTGTAACTAACTGAGCAGTTTATGGTGACTGTATCTAACTGAGCAGTTTATGGTGACTGTAACTAACTGAGCAGTTTATGGTGACTGTAACTAACTGAGCAGTTTATGGTAACTGTAACTACACTTTATGGTGATATGAATACTGTACGTATTGTACAATGTATTCTGTTCTGAAGAATGTTTTTTTTAAATCAAGGTGTAATGTCGTCTTGACTACAATTAATTATGTGTGCTCTGTCGTATACGTAAACAACAAAGATTGTTTCAACCTAACTTTTCTGTCTATTTATAATGAGCCTCGTTTATAATGTTTTGCAAAAACAACTAATAATCGCATTTAATTTTAGGACCCCTATTTCCCCGTTTTTTTTCCTTCAGTTATAGTTTTGGTTATCTAATGATTATCTTAGACACAGGTATGACATATGATAATTCTATCAACAGTTTCTTTAATTGTAAATATAATTTTACTTTTTGACTGCAGTCTAACAAAGTACGACTAGGAATTGCAAATTCGAGTGGATTGGTACTAACTATGAATGGGAAATAGGACTGACAGTTTTTGATTGATGGTGTGACGTCGAGCCCCGCCCCCTTGAGCTTTAATCTGACGACAAACTGACAGGTGCAATGTGAACGAAAAGTTAATCCGTGTGCAGGAACCAGTGACACTGTGTGGATTATTTCCTTTCTCCAGAGAACTGTCAGATTTTAATGTAAGTTCCATTTTTATTGTCAAATTAAGAAAAGTCATTTTCGTCCTATATCCTCTTTCGGATATTGTATTATAATCTCAAAAAAATATTAGAACATAAAATTTGATTTGCTATCGATTACCTTTAGCATTTTTTTTTTACCTGAATAAATGCAATTTATATATATACACTTAAGAAACAGCATTATGATGTTGTTATACAACGGGCAAAATGGGTACTTATCTGACAATAAATTCAAATTGACATTTAGTATGATTGAACAGCAACAAAGAAACGCATTTATCTCTATGGTTGACTTGTCTAACTAAAAAGTCATCGAAGGAAATACCAAAAAGAAAATAAATATCAGTGTCTACTTTGAGGTAAACCAACATAGTATGGCATATGTGTTCTGCTTGGCAAACAACAAAGTTGAAACAACCGTTTCCTTCTGAATTTGGTGCACATTGACAAAGTTATATAATGACATAGATTGTGTTGCGAACATTATGAGATGATGTCTGATTTAGGCTTTTTCCATTTTTTTAAATTAATTTACGCTGAACCTCTAAGATACATGTATTTAAGATCTGTTTGTCATAACAACGTGACGTCATAAATCATTTCCAAAATTGCATATACATATTCGTATGTATATTGCATTTAAATTACATTGCTATATGTAAATTTTAATTTCGTTTCCTTTAGTTTGTACATTTTTTTATGTACAGCTCAAATTAGTTGTTCAGATGCCAAAATAGGCATCCACAGTCATGAACTGCAATTTCAAGCATGAATCCGACACACGATGGTATGACCCCTGGTCTCTACAAAGATCGGTGACAGTTTTCATGCCTATCGCTTCTGCTACCTTTTTATCACACCTAAGCTGTCGCGCACTGACAGATGACCTAGTTGCTGTTTTACTCTGGTAGCAGACATCATGAAAACTTCTTTGGCCCCGAATTTTACGTCCATTTGAACATAGGAACATTTCCGGTTTTGGTCGTTATTCGGGCATAAGACTTAAGGTGCGTCTTACGGAAAGAAGTAAACATATTAACGTTATCATGCTTAATATACACTTTTTGTGACGAAGTTTCTCGCTACAATAGTTGTGTACTTGTTATTTTTTCCGCCAAAGAAACAATATAACTATATTACTATAAGGTAAAAAAAAAATATGTACGTCTGAAAAGATCACACGTTCAGTTGCACACTAAATGTGTTATTGTGGTTTCTTCACAGTTTGAAACAGAACACGTTGGTCAATAATTAATATACTAATATAAGTCTCCATATACATATATATTCTCCGTTTTTAAAAAGATTTAGTATACATGACGTAGCAAGTGAGACTATAAAAACAGAAGAAGATAGTAATGTTCCCAGTATTAGGTATCACAGACCAGTACTATAGCATAAGGTCTGTTATTGGAAATTATTGAATACTTGAAGCTTCATGTGTTAAGTTTCAATAATCTTTTGTAACTACGTGTAAGATGTGTATGACATACATACTGATTATTGATATTATCGAATAGCATGGCCATAGGAACCCGGGGGGGGGGGCGTGCCCCCCCCCCCCAATAATTTTGCCGATATATGGAATACTATGGAAAACATAGCTAATATATGCTTGTGCCCCCTCAATAAAAACGTATGATGACTTTTTTTTCTTGTCAAGGAATTTTGGTAGTCGATAGTGCCCCCTCCAATTGAAAATGTATGGTTGTGCCCCCTCAAAGTGAAATTGCTTCCTAAGTGCCTGAATAGTATTTACACTTTCTAAAAGTCTAGGTAATTTTGGGTTAGAGGGTTAGATACTATAATCTCGAGATTCTCTTGCTAAAAAAAAACAATAAAAATGCTATCGAATGTTCAGAATTCAATCCTAGATTAGGGCTACCATTGCCTTGGGTACGCTTGGATTACAGGCCAGCTCAGTATATGTCAGTGTAGCTGTTGTACACAAACAATGATGTTGAGTTTCCTCCTCTCTTTTGTAAAGCGTTAACTTTGTCCAAGTTTTCAAAAAAGGAGAAAATCTATCGAACTTCCTATCATTTTACTTCTTCATGAATGACTCGGTGCCCATGCAATAGCAACTTAATCACGAGCACTGGAAATTAATGTATATATAGAAAAAAGGAAGGGTAAGTCACTCTTTTTGAGGCAATTTTGGGTTGGGGGGGGGTACTATGCTTATTTCCATGTTTTTCAAACGACCTGACAAGAAAACTCGTTTCTATATATTTTACTTACCATATATACGTTGCTTTGTTCCGCTCCAATGTATTTTATTTGATGAATTGGTCGTTTTAAACCTCTAAGTGCCTAAGAATTTCGCTAGACTGCTCTACTTCCGGTTACATTCACAGTGAATTTAAAGGTCTTCCTATTCATTAATACAAGTTCTTCAAATAAAAAAAATGCAATTTTGAAAATTGTCAAAGATATCTAGCTTTTGAGCCATTTCCTACAGGATTTAAGAGACGGTGTATTTTCTTTGGCAGATGTTTCACTTTTGATATCAATTTTCAACAATTTGGCTGACCAATCAGATTTTACCTTTACAATCATTGTGATTGTAACCGGAAGTAGAGCAATCCAGGAAAATTCTTAGGCACTTGGAAATGTAAAAACGTCCAATTCTTCAAGTAAAATGCATATAAGGAGCGAAACAGATCAATTTATATATGTAAATTGTAAATAAATTATTTTCGCGTCAGGTCATTTGAAAAAAAAAAACATGCACAGTACCCCAAACTCAAATTTGCATCAAAAAGAGTGTCCTACCCTTCCTTTTTTATACATGTACATACTCAATGTTTACATTAATTTCCAGTGCCCATGGAATTAATGGACAATTTTGTAAACATCAAATCTAGAGTATGGCCAGACGCTCTTAGTCAGGGTAGCATCCTTTATTTTAATCTTAACTTTTAATAGGCTATGAACCAAAGTTATGGAAGTTAAACGTTCAAAATTTTAAATGTTAAACTGAACCTGTTGTGTGTCAAAAATAGTACTCTTCTTTACATCAAAATGACATGAATTTCGTTTAATCTACATGTATTACTTACTAATCACTCCCAAGATTTGCATTTTCGTTTTTGTTTAGCAAATTTCCCCTTCTTTATTTAATTAAATTTCCACAACCATAAATGTTTTCTTGATTACCATACAGTCAAAATGATGAGATGTGATTTGATTAATTTTTTTCACTCGTGAGAGCAAAAGTTCTGTACTAATTTATTGCTTTCTTGGAATATATTACTTACGACATAGCGTTTTATGCGACAAAGAAAGCTATAATTCAGAGTTGGGTTAAAAGTTCGCGCTTGTCAATAGCATTATCATGATATATGGAAACACCTATCAAATCTCTAGAAACAAGTAGATATTCCAATCACGTCTATAAAACAGAAATCTAAGAAATGGCTGAATCAAATGCAACCTTTGGGAAGTTGATTAGAGGATCAATTTTTGGTTTCCAACCAAATTACTCTTTCGCAATAACAAATCCAACATACATTCAAATGCAAACAGACAGTCACTGTTACCGATTGTTTAAGGTAGCCAATGTTATTCAATTAATTAGAACCGTGTCAATTTTGTGGTATTCTGAATTACCGATAATAAATGAGTTGAGGTTTTAATATTATGTAAATATAATTAATCTTATGGTTGGGTTCACTCTAGGGCAGGATTAAATCCGAGAAATCTGTTTTTGGCACGGTGATAAGTTTTGTATTATTGTTTGACAAATCAATCTTAATTTTTCATATCTTCCGCATGTTTATATCAGTAATTTCCAAAAAATGATTTTAGTTGTTTCTATTTCTGTTTTTTTTTAATTATTAAAAAAAAAAAAAATAAAAAAATATGTGGAAGTCATCAGGTATGGATTTGGAATGATTTTGAAGAATAAATCACCTGAGAATTTTTTTCCTAGAAATACATGTCATTTATTTATGCTAGACATGTTATAAACCACTTGTGTGAAGTAGCAACTTTTTGGATTTAGACAATTTCAAAGTACACGGAAATGCATTATCAAAGATAAACTTCAAAACCTTTCTTGTGAAAATTATTTATCTCTGGTTTAATTAAGAATCATTAAGGAGTTCAGAGGTCATGGATTTGCTCGTAATTCTTCGGCTTGATTTATAGCACCGCTGTACAGGTCGTTGGACCGGTAAATGCTTGTTGTAGAAGCCTCGTCACTCACACGCTTGCTTCTCTTTGCGTATGTATAAAAAGTTCGTTCCTCCCAGAATACTTCGTACTCAGTGCAATATTGAACACTACACAGGTTCTCGCCAAATATGTAAATTAATTGATGCGGATATGTAAATATTTGTATACAATGTAATTTTGCGTACATGCAACGTTAGTATGTGAAATACAAGGCCAAAGATTACATGTAGCGAGATTGTGTATTCTGCAAAATAATGTACAAAGAGTGATAAACATATACAATAAAAGACAAAAATAATGTCTAATACAAAAGTGTAGAGGACTGCCTTCTTAATCATTAAAGCCAAATAAATAGTCTATTTTTGTGTGTAATTTGTTAATTAATATGCATTTGTCTCGGTGTTTAACCATAGTCTACATTACAGGTGACTCAAAAATGCAATAGAAAAGGGTTAATTAGTGACATTACACGTTAGTTGGTGGTGACGAAATCTCTCCTACACATGCACGTCTGTCATGTGCAGCTTTATTTCCTGCAGTAAAAATAATGAAGTGAATGATGTTTTGAGCTGTCATTTGTACTATTAGATTAAGATGATGAGCAGAGAGCAGTTTCAACGTAGTTATCTGTAAACTAAATCCCGCGAGATTTGAATATATTGAAACTCTAGCTCCTAGCTAATGCAAAAGGCAAAGTTTGTCGTGACTTTCTTGTGTGTGTGTGTTCCAGAGTGTTGTCAACTTTTCATTTTTATTTCCACCAACAATACTATTTACGTGACATTTATATTTGAATTGGAACTGTAACCTAGGCTAAT